CTTGTGTCGCTTAAGTTTCGTCGGTACGAAGTTACGGAAAATCAATTAAAAAAAAACGGAGACGTAACAATATCTAATAAGAACATTTTGTCGTGTTTTTGTGTTTCTTTTGCCTGTGGGTGTTGTTGTAAGATTATTGTAAAATTTTGGTGTTATTTTAATTTCCACTTCCCCTTTATTCCGGGCCCGGCATGGCCAGGTGGTTAGGGCGCCCGACTCGTAATCTATGGGTCGCGGGTTCGAATCCCCGTCCCACCAAACATGCTCGCCCTTTCAGCCGTGGGGCGTTATAATGTGACGGTCAATCCCACTATTCGTTGGTAAAAGAGTAGCCCAAGAGTTGGCAGTGGGTGGTGATGACTAGCTGCCTTCCCTTTAGTCTTACACTGCTAAATTAGGAACGGCTAGCACAGATAGCCCTCGTGTAGCTTTGCGCGAGATTCATAACAAACAAACAATCCCTTTATTCCGAGATTTTTTTAATAAACAAAGAATATAATGTTTATTTTCATTTAAAATATATTTTCAATTGTTTTTTAAGGTTATGATTGTTTGTTGTTAAGCGCAAAGATACACAATGGACTATCTGTGATCTCCCACTGAGGGTATCAAATCCCGATTTGTAGCGTTACAAGTCCTTAGACTTACCGCTGACCCACCAGGGGCTTTTTTGAAAATAACAAGAATAAAGGATTACCCACATTTTAATTTCATTTACATCTTTATAATATAGCTTATTATCGTTTTAGTTTGTTTTTTTTAATAAAAAATAACTTGATATTTGCAGTCCCACTTCATGTCTGCTACTGGCTTTTACTTTCTGACTTTAGTAACACTCACTAGATGCTGCTATTCGCCCAAGCGTTAAGGTTAAAGTTCATTCCCATTTTGCCATGAAATGTAGCCGATGCATACAAAGAAACTCGTATTGGCTCGCAGAGCGACTTTTCTTGTTTGAGCCAATGAGCGCTTCGTTTTGACAAAACTTCTCGCTGTCGTCTATGCGGGTTCCTTGAATTACAACATAGCCTCGAGATCTTGGCACCTCTGTTAGATAAAGTCAGCGCTCACAGTCGAAAGATACCAGAAGGCGGCGAAAGTTTGAATCTTGGAGTTGAGTTCAATCCGTACATCGTGAGAGCAACACGTAGAAATGATGACAAACATATTGAATTTGTTGTTTATTTTAATGTTCGTCTCTGTACCTCTTCATGGAGTCCGACCACCCCTGCGATACTGGTACTTCGAGGGTAAGTTCACATTTCGTTCCGTATCTAATATTAGGCATATTACTGACCACCTGTATCACTGACCTACGAGTCAGTTTTACAGTGACTGAACACAATCGGACAGTACGTGACTCAAGTATTGCTCTTGTGTTCTATTGGTACTAAAGTAAATACTACGACATAACAACACTGTATTGACCAGTAACAGGTGTGACAAAATGCCCGGCCACGATCGTATGATACATATAAGAATAATAAGTAACAACAGATATGGTTACAGGTGATTTTTGTATTTATAATAATCTTTACATTTCAGTATCTGTTGAGATATAAATGAGAAGGGAATTTAACCACTGGACAGTCTTTCACTCTATGACTGTCCGATTGGCAAGTACGGAGCCGGTCGATACATAGTCCTGCCGATATATCGTCCGATATACACATAAGACTAATGTAGAAAAGCAGAGCAGTTGCGTACGAAGCGGCCTCTATAGTTTTCAATCTTTTCAAATGCAAATGCATCAAAATTAGAAAAATTACTCTCAGGAAAAGCAGGAGAATGAATAACATTTAATCCAGAACCCAAGAACTTCCAGGGCCTAACATAAGATAAGCTCTGCCCCCCCCCCCTCGGCCGTGATGGCTGCGCTTGTAGTGGACATTCCCTCGTTTCGCTCACTCAAATAAACATTGCCCCCACTTTTAACTTTACTCCTACACCTATGCAGAGATGTATATTTACAGATGCTACACTTATATATATAAACACACACACACACACACACACATATATATATATATATAGTTATTTGCAAAAGGAGACTTTTACTATTAGTTAAGCCTGCTATCCGCGTAGAAGGTGGTGCTTGCTTAACAAGTGAACGAACAACAGAGATGTAAATAATTTGACTCATGTTACACATCTTTCAAGTTTAATTTTAGAAGTATCAGAGTTTGTATTAGAAACGGAGCTGAATGAGACATTACTCGACTGAGCCTGCCTCCCCCGGTAGCTCAGCACTGACAGCGGTAAGTCTTAGGGCTCATAACGCTAAAAATCTTATTTCTGTATCCGTGGTGGGCAAAGCACATATAGCCCACTATGTAGCTTTGCACTTAACAACAAAAACGGACTCTGAGTAAAAAAAAATATATCAAAAATATATAGAAAAATCTTTGTTGTTTTTATTATTATTTTTAGTATTCTTCCCGATTTTTGACACACACACATAACAATTTTTAATATTGTTGTTAATATTTCTATTATTATTTGTCTAGGGATGGAAAAAAAAGACTCACGTTGCATAGCAGCGTGTGCCATTTCTGCTTTTACATGCTGCAGACTTGTAATATAATCCAACACCAGGTGCTGGATATTTCATCCTTGTTACCATATAAGCAAATTGGCATAAACAGGTTTTATATATATATATATGAATTTGCTGTTCTGATTCAAACGTGGAATTTGTACAGTAACCCCAATCTAATAAAATTCAGAATGGATCAAACTGCTACGGAATAGGAGACCATTACTTCTATCACTGATTATTGATTTACGCCCTTAGTACCGGAATCCCAAGTAGGAGTTGTTAGGATTGTTTTTATTTATAACATTATGTAAATGTTATATATTTGTTCTTATGAAAATGTTGCAATGCATAAGAAATACCCCCCAGTGGCACAGCGGTATGTCTGCGGACTTACAACGCTAGAAGCTTGTGTAGCTTTGTGCATAATTAAAAACAAACAAACAAGCATAAAAAATGAAGAGGAATTAATATTAATACTAGTAATAAATGAGCTTCTAACATAAGATTTGTCAATTTTCTTAAATTGGATACTCAACGTTTCGATTTACACTTAAAGCTTGATCAGGAGCGTTCCACTAATACACAAACCACAACTGACAGTATACACCAATATGCACTACAGAAATTAAATAAAGAGGAATGAATGATTAATAATAACGAAAAACAACAAAAAATTATTATTATTATTTCCTCGGTTAAGTAATATTTGCATTCAGCTCCGTTCGTTTTTCAAATTATCCTCTTTTGGTGTTAAAAAATGTTGTTGTAAGCTATATTTTTAATGCAGATGTTAGCTAGAATGCGCATGATGTTAAATTTGGTCTAGAATACCTAGAACGTTTGGAAATGTATTGATCAAGAGACTTTGCAAAGCGTCTTAGAAACAAGGCTTTTTTTTAATTATAAATACGAGCATCAGCGAACAATGAGTCA